GGGATAGTTGCATGCAGTCACGATACTGCACGCGCGCTATCCTCAGTGGGCAGCGCTTACCAAGAGCCCGCAGCGAAACATGCACTCGGCGAGAGAACAACCAGAATTGAGAGGGCGCAGACAAGAAGCGCATTTGACTATGGTTGGAACGTGTGGCTGGCTGTGCCGCAGCGCACGTGATGGAAACGGTAACCCCTGATCCCGTGCACCTCCGACCGAAGAAAGTGGCGTCAGCAGAGTCACTGAGATGATGGGGATACATGGCAAGGATCAGATTCCATAGAGGTGGTTGTACAGCTTGTTTTCGAGTGAGTGTTCACGGAAAAAACATCACTCATCGTATGAGATCGATCCTAAAGGCACCTCTCACAGGTGCTGATCCTTGAACTTCACAAAACTTCTTCAAACGGTCTATTCCTGATCAAGTATTGGGCTGCAAATTCCCAACTTTCAGGTCAGCTTGGGAGTGACTGCTCTGTTGTCTCTGGCTATAATACGTGAGTCACAAGAATTCACTTTTGTATTGGTAATGCTTCTAATCGAAAGATTTATAGTGATGATGGTCTCCGATAAACTTCCAGCCACATCAAACTCCGTACCGCTACTTGGTAAGATTTCTGTGGGTCACTTATGTTAGCAATGTGGAAAAGTTCTACAAGAAAGCGAACTGTAAGCATTTTCTCGAACGTCTGAGTGGCTCGAGATTCCTACAAAATTCGAACGCCTAATGTCTCGGGTTTCTTCAGAATCCCTTGTGAGGGCCCTTTCGGAGCCTAAGTAGCTACAGAGTATTTGAGATAAATAGGAAGAGATTGAAGCCGTGAGCACACTAACTTATTTAGCCGAATGGTGTAAATGTACATAATAGAGAGGGAAATGACGTTCCTGAGTGGCTACTCTCAGCGCCAAGAAGCGTCATTGACGCGGGCACATTTTTCATCCAGACGCTAGTATTCCACTGTTGTTCGGCGTCTTGACAAGGAATATAGCCTTAACTTCCGACGCCAGCACCATTTGATGGTCATGTGTGCCAGTTTCGGGTTACACCATTGTCGGATTTGTTTTGAGCAACGAGCGAGAGTCTAGTGATAAGAATCGCTGGAAACAGCTTTCCGCTAGGAGTTTTTGCATCCTTCCAGCCTCTCCCGAACCGTCCCAAACGACCCTGCCTTGGCCTTGTCAATGCTTTCCCAAGGAGGTCCAAGAAGAGAGAGGAAGAGAGAGAGAGAGAGAGAGAGAGAGGAGAGAGAGAGAGAGAGATGAGATGTTTAGCGATTCGCGAATGCGATAAGCGGCGCAAGCTTGCGCAGTCCAGTTTTGTGACATCTTCCGCGTTAAGGCTGTTCCACTCCTCCGCCCACATTAAGTCTGCGAGAGGGATTCGGGGTCCGCATTAAGTTCCTCACAAAAAGGGCTGAGTTGGCTCAAGATGGGCGGAGACTCTCATTTCAGTAGCAGGAGCTTTCTGGTGCAACAAAAGAAAGTTTTGAAAAAAAAATTCAAAAATTTGCAAGGAAATGGCCAAATGTCCCAGAAGTGGGTGTGATTAGAGTAGCAAAGTGGAGCTCAGTTTTTGAGCTTGTCTAGGAGTCAATCATTCATGAAAAGGGGGTGGAAAGCCGGCAACGCATGTTGAAAGTACTTTGAAATGTGCGAATATAAATCGTTATGAAAAAAGAACGGAAAGGGGCGGAGTCAAACAAGAGCGGAGTAGTCTGTGCTTAAGTGTTAGGCGGAGTCGTCTGTGCTTAAGTGTACGAATACTTCCCTGATATTATCATGTAGCTATAAACCAGCAAAAACGCCAAAAAAGTCACACATGTAGAGTCCACGTTGAGAAGCGGGTGTGGCTGCGATGTTGAGAGCGGGGCCTGCAGGGCTGTCAGGTATGATCAAAAATGGTAGGGGAAACGCTTTCCCCAAGATTGCTTGAAATGCTCCGCGAAAGGTTCACAAAACAAAAAGTGGCCTACAAGGTACATTGTGTGCCGCTGGTGCTGTACCGGTGGTTCACAGCAAGCGAAAAACTTTTGTCCCACATGGTCTCGAAAAACTCGACTGTCGTCAGCGTGCTGCTCCACCGCCCAATCTACTACTTTGTTAGATAAATCACTCTTTGCCGAAGAATAGCGAAAAAAAACCTGGAGAGTCCTCACACATTTTTGCTCTCTATAATCACAATTCAGGACAATATTATATCGGCTTGATCTTTATCATGTTTCTGGCCACTTACTGCACCACTTTCACGCTTGGACTTCAGATGCAAGGCAATACGGTGAGTTATTTGCAGTGTCTCAACAGGAAGTCCAATGAGAACTCAAACTCGATCATCTGTGGATCAATCAAGATTGTTCGAGCAGTTGTGCATGTATTAGCGTATCACATCACAAGATTGCTGAGTTGAGGGCAGGGCACATCATTTGTTGGGGATTTTAGTCGAGTCTGTACGACCCCCCCCCCCTCCGGCCTCTGTCTGTTCCTCCTCATCGAATCGAGCCGTCGAGCGGAGGAGGGGGACAACTATCAAAATAAATTTTTCCCAGCCCAAATACGACCCCCCCCTCTCCTGGCGGACCAAATACGACCCTCCCCCTATTGGGGATTCCCCAACAACGACGTGCCCTGGTTGAGGGTAAAGCTTGGCGCTCCGCTTATTGCAGGAATAGCGACTGTGCTTCCTCAAATTGTTCGAAAAGTAAAGAGAAGAATAATAATTTTGTCGTGTCATTCAACAAATCGATCATCGGCGGATAGGGGCCCCATGTTGAAATATGCAACACGCTGAAACAAATTTTATCTATTCTCGGTCAGAAAAGGTTTTTTGTTCTCGAAAGTAAAGCCTCTACAAATATACAGCTATTGCTGGGTGCAGTGTGATGAGCTGAATCTAAACGTAAAAGCCTTCCTGAAGAGAAAAGTTGGATAAAAGTCACCTCTTAGAAGGAAAGCAAAAAGGTGCAAAGCATCATTCATTTGCTCCCACTAGTACCCTTCTCATCTAGACCTCTCCTACGGAAGGCTTGCCCACGCTGCATGCCACAAGTGATGGGGTAAACATGTCGAATTGCAAGTCGAATTCCCAGGCTTTGTTGGCAAGAAGC